GTGAAATATCTCATAAGTATTCAACATAGTTATCAGAGAATAACTTTATTGTTTCGAGAATTAATTTAAAAATGAGTTCTTATCGAATTCAATATCGAGGACCTTTTTATGGAACAATTTTATTAAAAAGTTTAATAGAGAACACTACTCACTAGAAAAATTTAAAATAGTTTCTATCAGAATTCTTACTTCAATTATATTTTAATACAATAGACTTTAAATATTTTTTTTAAAACGTGGTTTTAAAATAGAAAAAACTTTTTCATTAGCACTAAATATATGTTGTTAAACATGTATCCAATATAATTGTATGAGTATGCAAAACTTTTTATTTTATTTATAAATCAATATAAAAGTTATTTTGTTATTTGACAAAAGTTATGTGTTTTTTAATGCTTTGTGTATATTTTATTTTTTGTTTATAAACACGGACAATATGTAAACGAAGCTTGGTGATAAGACAGGTCTTCTTCTTGCTATTTTTATATATGTAATATGTCTTCATTGTAAATATATGAAACGCCAAAAAAATAAAAAATAAAATAAAGCTTCGTATGAATTTTCACAAAAACATTACCCCCCCCAGCCTTAAAGTGTGACAATTTATGGACGACCTCTTGCCTGAAAGATAATATTGGTTTTGTATTTAAATATTTTTGACAATAGAACAGTTCTATTATTTGCTTTGTTAACTGTTGATTTAATTTGATTTTCCCAGTTTAAATTTCGTGAAATACTCTTAGATCTTTTTCCAACTCGTAGTGGTTTCAACAAATAGTGCTTAGAATTTGTTTAAATTCACATTTCCCTAAAGTATATAAATTTTATAGATTAAATTTGCTAATGTACGCAACCTTGCATTTATCTAAATTTAATTTTATCAGTTATATTTTAGACTATTCTTCCACTATGTCAATATCATTTTGTACCTTTGAACTATTACTTCTTTCTATATTGCAATAACCTTGCTATCGTCTGCATTTAGCTCGCATGGATTTTAAAGTAAATAACACAAATTTACGTAAAGATTAAACAATAGCGGAATTAAAACGGGTTATTGTGAGACACCACTTGTGTCTTCAAGCCATAATAAATTATCATCACTATAACTCTTTGACTTTTATTAGACAAGAAGGATCTGATCCAAATAAATTCAATTTTGTTCCATAAGCCAATAACCTTTAGTAGTAATCGTTTATGTTTAACAGTATCAAAAGCTTTAGCATACTTGAGGTGCAAAACATCAATTTGTTTTCCATTTGCAAATAAAGGCGTAACAATATCCACATATTTTTATAATTATCATTATTATAATTATTTTTTTTAGGTGCTCCAAGAAGGTGCACCTAAAAAAACTAATTACGGTCTTATCTTATCATTCGTGTACTTCTGAATTATAATAACTGAGCATAATTTACATAATAATGCAATACAAGTATAATACATAATAATGCAATACAAATATAACACATAATAATGCAACACAAGTATAACTTTTTATATTCTGACAAGTTTATAATACTTTTGCTTTTAACAAATGTTGCTTTATGTTAATAGATAGTTTTTCATTGGTTCACTATTTAGGGCCGACGACACGGGATGGTGGGGTAGGGGCTCAAACCCCCTCCACCCCACTTTTTTTCCAAAGGACCCACTTCAAAACCTGTGTCGTCGGCCCTGTTTACGCACACGACTTAAACACAAAGAGATTTACACAATCCAGATACGTTAATTTTGTTGTATTTAAGATTAACAGTTTGTTTAAAACATCATATTTTAATGAAAATTTATTACGAAATCATGAATTTATCATAAATCAATTTTAAACCCACATAGCGATCCTGTTAATTAACATAGAAAAAGACCCTTTATACTTTTAGATAATGTAAGAAATTCAACAACAATCAAGAATAATCATTTTATAACATTTTACAAAATTTATAAATATGGCCACTTTTCTGAAGTTTTGCCCCACTGTCTAATATGTTGCAACTTGATGAAATACTTTTCTAAGTTTTTTTGTATAAGTTTTATGACAAATTCAGATTTTGTTTTTAATAAAATTTGTTATAAACTTCTATAAGTAAGTTTTATGACAAATTCAGATTTTATTTTTAAACTTTTTTTTTTCAAAAAAAAAGAAACAAAAAAAAAATATCATAAAATTTTTTTTTTCTAGAATACGACGATGTAACAAAAGAACTAGATCAGGTTAAGCAACATTTACTCTAGATATTTTGCACTTGTCTAATAGAAAGTGGGTCTCATTAGAAGAACCAGCCACAACATAACAACAATATTCCATGGAATATTGTTATTGCATACATTATATGTATACAAGGCCAAGTAAAAGATTTATAGAGAGAAAGAATGGAACCAGGTGTAGTAAAATGGCGAGCATATAAAGATATAACTTTAGCAGATGCTGACTTTGTAATGGATTGTATAAAAAGTTTCAGTAAAGGTTAGAAATGGATGATAATCTGAAAAAAATAAAGTTGAAGACTTAGTAAGAAGAATCTGCCATTCATCAATATGTATGAGGCCATTCATCAATAAGCGTGGCCATTCATCAATATGTGTAGTCATTCATCAATATGTGTGGTCGTTCATCAATATGTGTAGCCATTCATCAATATCATGAACAATATTGCAATAATTGTTAGCAGTAAATAACTGAATTTTGTTTGGAATCAAATATACCAGTTCTAAACTGTCGCTGAAGACAGGGCCGATAACACCTGGGAGGAAGGGGCTTGAGGACACTAGCTTCCCCCACTTATTTTCTAAAGGAACCTTTTTTTCAGAAACTTCTAGATATAGAAAACTTTTTTAAAAAATTGAAGGTTGTGCTCTACGTTGTGCTCTAGGTTGCTCCACTACGAAACCCATGAAACCACTTCGAAACCCAAAGAAAGTTTAACTCAATCTTAAAATTAAAGGGATTTGTCCTATGGGCGGCCCCATTACGTTTTTATCGTAGTCAAGTAACCATTTCCGCTTGATCCATTTCTGAAATTTATCTTCATATTTCACTTCGGCATACTATAGTATCTCATATTAAGCAACTTTATTAATTAGTCAATTGAGTCCGTCTCCATCTCTCCATTTCCATTTGACTTTCCATTCAATACCATAAAACGCCTCTATTATCTTTCTTTTTAATTTCAATTTTATTTACTTCATTTTTTTTAAATAACATTTAGCAACAGCTGGTCCCAAACTTCGCCATTCCTAATGAAGAAATAAAAACTACTTCCAACCTAGTGGAACTATTCCAAGCAGAAATCTGCCAAAATAACTTCGCGCATTTCGATATCATTAATCTCGATAGTCACATTTACCGATTCAATTCATTGATGAATCTTTCCTTCAAAAATTACCTTTGGAGAGTTTATAACTTTATTTTGATCTTTGGAGAAAAAGTTGTGATTTAAAACATTTTTTGAACATCCTTGAACATCCCGTGTCCACGATAGGTTTACCATCATTCCAATAACTTTCAAACAAATAGTAGATAAAGCGCTAATTTCAATATTGTTTAGAAGCGAGGTCGTGCAGATTCCTTGTTTCTGCACTCTTTTTGTTTCTGCACTCGGAAATTTGCAAAATAGAATTTTTTTGCAAATTCAAGTTTTGGGGTTGTCCGAGGTGCAGATGCAATCTGCAACTTGGGCAGTCCCAAACGCAATGACTCTTCTGTCAATTTAACAAAATAAGCCAATCGTTTCAAATCAGCTAAAAACTCATCAACTTTCTCTCCGTCATGTAGTTTTTGTTTCATGAAAAGTTTTTTTGTTTTGCATTTCAGCAATTACTTTCGTTCTTTGAATCCACACAGCAGCATCTGAAGCTCCATCATACGGCTTAAACATATGGAATGATTACTTGATTCGAAGTTGTAAGGCAAGCGTTTGGAAAAACGCTTGCCCTACAACTTCCTTCTATTCCAAGTTAGATTGTTATTAAGGTTTACAATTCCAAGTTAGATTGTTATTAAGGTTTACAATTCCAAGTTAGATTGTTATTAAGGTTTACAATTCAGAAGCAAAACAAAAGGATCAAAATCTGTATTAATTGTCAGTAATCGAGAGTAAGTTGTTGTAATCGAGTTGTTGTAGTCAAAATAAGATATTAAAAGTTTGTGGTCATTACATTTACAAAAAAAGCACAACTTTACATGCAACTCAATGAAACCCAGAAAAGCCCGTTCCTAGTCTAAGCAAACTCTTCAGAAAAACTTTGGCATTTAAAGATTTCACATTTAAATTTAATTTCATTTAAAGGTTCCTGAAATTTAAAATTCTTTTTTTTCTACTTAAAATTTAATGCTGATAGCGAGTAATTTGATAAATAAGATTTAACATTAGGTGATCTATTGTTCAAGTTTAAATTTGAGCTCATGTCAGAATTATACGATGATTTTGATCCATTTAATTTCTCCAGAACAGATGCTTCAAATATCAAAAAAAAAAAAAAAAACTTTTTGACCCCTACCGTAAACGCGAGAGTTAAAAAATTTTTTTTTCGCTATTCTTATCTAAACTTTATTCATTAATAAATTTCAAATTTTATCCAATTATAATCTCTTAGCGTTCAAAAGTTATTGCTATTTAAAATTTATCTTAAACACAAAAAAATGTGCATCTGTTTCCTTCAAAAGATGCACATTGTTCAAATTTTCATAGCTCTGCTGATATTTGAGTATTTTTTGCTTATTATTATTACCTTACTATTTTTTTTTTCCGATTTGTAATTATTATTCCTAATTGTCTTTGTGCAGCATTCTACAAATATCTTAAACTTAAAAATAAGTGACAAAAATTATTTTACCTCCTCTCCACAATATAAAACAATGTTTTAAAATCTTTTATGTTCAAAAGACTAGGTAACTTCTAAATTTATCTTTTAAAACATCTAGAATTATTTTTTTTAACAAACTGCTTAAAATTGAAATTAATTTAAATGAGTGTTGTAATTAATAGTTTTTCATTTAAGTAGAATAAAATTACCAACGCAACGGGAGGCTCGAGTTCTCGTCGCAATATGAAAAATGGCTCGAGTTTTCGCGACTGAAAGTCTTAAAATTTATTTAGCTAAAGTACGTGTGTATAAAATATAATTGTATTTCAACAATATTATTTGACTATAAAGCAGTTAATAATATACTTAGTGCACTAAAAGTTTAAATTTTCGTGCATGTTTATATCTTTATCCCGTGTAATGTTTTTTCAATTACGTATTTTGAACTTAAAAAATAAAATAAAATTCATCTGTAAATAATCTGTAATGTTTGTATTATTTAATATTGTAAACAAAATGTAGAATAAAATAATATAATAATAATAATAATAATAATAATAGTAATAATTTTAACGATACAAATATTAGTCATAGTAAATAATAATAGTAATAATAATAATTAATAACAATAGCAATAATAATAATAACAATAATAATAGTTATTATAACAATGATCACGATAAGCTTATTATTATTATTATTATTATTGCTATTATTATTATTATTATTATTATTATTATTATTATTATTATTATTATTATTATTATTATTATTATTGCTATTATTATTGTTACTATTATTAGAGAACAACAAAGATAGTTTTATCCATATGTTCCATATGGATAAGAGAAAATGAAGTAATATGTGAGACATCAATATTATTACCTTAAAGTAAATAATTAAGTTAAATCATCAGTTTTTTTTGTTGATGAGTTTTACCATTTCAGTATAGTACATTTAAAATTGTGCAATCAAGATATAAACATGATAAATGTATTTAGATAATGACCAGAGAATAATTAAATTAACAACTTATGAAAAAAATTCTGTCATGAGCACATATAAAGAAATCAAAGGTGTTAAATAAGTTCATTAAAAAATAACATATTAAGGTCTCAAGCTTCTGTAACTTTTTGTTTTCTAATTTTTAGTTTAATAGAGAGTGATTTTTTTCAAGTCTTTAATATGAATGTTTCTTTTGAATCTTTTTTTTTACATGCTTCATCTACTGTCAGACACTATTTGTCACTTAGTGCTATTATGCTCATCATTACTGTCAGTTAGTTCTTTTTTTTATACTTTTGCTAATAGGTGAAACATAAAATATACGGTGAATTGATCTTAGAGTGTTTTTTTTTTCTTTTCTCAACTTTCAAAAGTTAGATGAACTTTCTTATTGGAAGTTCATCTAATTGTTGTTCCATCTTTCCTTGATAAACTACATATTGCTATATATTACCTTTTTTTTACCTTATAGTTATAATATCACTCAGCCATTAACTTTAACTCTCCACATTTTCTTTGACTATCAAATGTTATTTTTCATTATTGTGTCTCACATAAGTAGTTGATACTGTAATAAAAATTTAATTATAAAAAGCAATGCAATTGGTGTATTTATTATTATTGTGCATTTAATGTGATTATTATTTTTATTTAGAATATGTTGAGTATCATATTATTGATCAAATAAAATAAATTAAAGTTCACTAATGTATTTCTTAACAGTATAATTTAATGTTATTTCAAATGAATTTTTTGGAAATACTTTACTTAAACTAAAACATTTATTTCTTAGTAAAAGCCTAACAACAAATCTTTCTTTGAAATAAACTATGTTTATAAAAATTAAATCATATAAGTTTTATTTTGCGTTTATAGGTACACGATTTGTGAAAATTTTGATTGTTTTTGACCCCCTCCCCTAACCCTAAATGTAATTTATGGACCCTAGAGCAAAATATTAGTATCAAAATCTGTAAAATGAAATTATATAAGTTAAAATATAAAAATCTATAAAATGAAATCATAAAATCTTATTTTCTTTTAAACAGCTGTAAACAATATAAGCATTTTGTAAATAATGGAATTTTGTAACTAAAGTAACTGATATAGTTTATTAAGTACTATTTAATATTTTGCTATTGTCACATAATGCGTAATGTGTTAGATTTAAATATATGCTTTTCTTATTTTAATTAATATAAATATATAAGCTATTTTGTAAATATATATAGTATTCAAATTAAATTAGAATTTTTTTTTTTTAATATTTTCGTTACAAACTTTTAGTTTTAAAGGGATGTGCAATATATTATCACGCGTAAGCGAGTTGAAGAATGAGCCATGAGAGAGTAGTGGAGCTGCATCGTCAACCTGGAATTGGTTTTGGGTTCAGTGTAATAGGTGGTTGTGACACTCATATTCCACATATGATTTGCGCTCTCGTGAGAGATAGCCCAGCTCTTGTTTCAGGGCAGGTAACTAATTACTTTTTTTTTTATAAGAGTTGATATTAAATTAAATAGTTATAATTTTCTAAATAATATTTCTAATTTATAAAATAAAATTTGATTAAACTGCTTAAATAACAACTAAAAGTTGATTTTTATTATTTTTTTAATTTTTTTGTAAGATTTAGTGATTAAAAAATCTTTATTTATTTAGTAAATAGCACTCATATCAAACACAATTGTCATTCAAATGTTAATGTGACTTATTGAATAATTTAAAAGTTAAAAAATGAAAAAAAGTTGCTTAACCAAAATCGCTTACTGCTTATGTAAAATCGCTTAAGGTGTATGTTAATCACTCTATGCGTAACACTTTAAAATAAGGCCTGATTATATATATATATATATATATATATATATATATATATATATATATATATATATATATATATATATATATATATATATATATATATATATATATATATATATATATATATATATATATATATATATATATATATATATATATATATATATATATATATATATATATATATATATATATATAGATAGATAGATAGATATATATACACATAAGTGTATATATATATAAATATAAATGTGAATAAAGAAAATATCTATTATCTGTATAATAAAAGAAAATATCTATATATTATCTGTATAATATTATATACTTAAAAAAGTGCTCAATAGATTAGATAAACTAGAGCTATATAGTATATATGTTACTGTTATCCGCAGTATCAGGAATTAGCTAAATGCTAATGTTTATAATATTATTTTAATTTTGCAATTCTGCAGTTTGCAGTTGCAAAATTTAATTATTTTATAAATATTAGCATTTAGCTAATTCCTGCTACTGCGGGTAACAGTAACATATATATATATATATATATATATATATATATATATATATATATATATATATATATATATATATATATATATATATATACACACAAATGTTAAAATATTAAGATATTGCAATACATTGAATTTTTATGTTAAGGTATTTGTTGGAGATGTATTACACAAGGTGAATGGGATAAATTTGTATGAGCTTCAAACAAAACAAGGTTTGTAACTTTATTTAAGGTGTTGTTTAAAACTTACACAGAGTTTTAACCTAGTATGTAATTGTTGCATCCATTTATTTTCAACTCTTATAGCATATTTCTGTTTATCAGCAATAAGTTACATCATTTTAACCAAGCTATACTTTTTTTATTAGTGCAAACTCAATAGTATACATAGATGAGTTTTTTTCAGGAATTCCGATAATTCTCTTAAAACTCCTTTAATTTTCCAGAAATTTCTGTATGTTTTTTGTTATTAATTTGAAAAAAAAATTATATATTTTAACATAAAATTTTAAATGCAACAACTTTTGCATTGAAACAAATATGTTTTCTATATATATATTATCTACAATTTTGTGCTTTCTTTTATCTTCAAGTTTTGTATCAATACTCGCAGAAGCTATTTTTTAAAAAATATCTAATAAAAATAAAACAAGAGTGCAACATGCATTATTAAATAATTATTATTTTGTAACTACCAGTGAGCAATTCATAGTACAAGTTGTTAAGTTTATGAGTAAATACAAATTAAGCAATGTTCATTTCAATTTATCATATAAAGGTTATGGTATAATAATCTACAATTTATAATAGTCCTAATATAATAACAATTTAATTGAATATATTATCTAAAATATATAATATATATACACACACACACACACACACACACACACACACACACACACACACACACACACACACACACACACACGCACACACAACCTTGTTAACTTACTATTCAACTATTAAATTTTTATCAAAATTGTTGAATAGAATTATATTTAAAAGTGCAGTAAAATACAGTAAAATTTTTGCCAATTTCTTAACTAATTTATGTTAAGTGATACATTAATATCACTGTAATGCACAATGTAAAAAACTTTGTGCATTTCTATATTATATAAGTTATTTAAATTTTACTGTTAATAAGTTGAAAAATGTGCTGTAGTAAAGTGAACATTCCAAAATACAGTATGAAATTCAGTTAGTACATGTGCAAAATTCAGTTGATACAAGTGGATATTTTTACTGAGCTGTAATAAAATATCTGAAATAAATATTTTTAAAACAGTAAATCTTTCACAAACATTAAATTTATTACTTTATAACATCTTTAAAAAAATTTATGTTTGTTTATAGTTGTCGATCTTATCCGAGGTTGCAAAGATAAAATTACTCTCACTCTTAAGGAAGGTAAATGATCAAAAATTATCTTATTTAAAATGATTTTATTAAAAAATATCTTATACCTATATTTTATATTGTTTACTTAAGTTTGTATTTTTCTGAGTATACATGTCTTGTAATGAAGCATATGCATAACTTCACTGATTTGCATGAAATTTTAAAATATAAATTTAGCTTTGGACATTAGTGATTACCTGATATTTTTGGTACTTCTGGTACCAGAATCTAATTAAAAATAGTTTGAAATTTTATTTTCTGGAATTGAAAATATACATAAATCACAACTGAAACTGGAATCAAAAATCAATAAAAAGAAGTGTTTTTTTTACTATAAACATAAAATAAACAATAAGCAGGAAGGTTTCCTCTATAAAAAAGAAGTTTTTATAAATTTTTTGGATGCAGTCTGTTTCTTTTATTTGTTAATATATTTCTAGCAATTAAAACTAATCTTTCAGGTATTTTTTTGCAACTTTAGTTGGTACTGGATTTGATGGGAAGCCAATGGAAAATCTAAAAAGTTGTTTAATACTTTTGTAATTTTAGAATTTTGTTCATTTGTTTCAACTTTTGAGATACTCTGAAAGCCAATTCATTATCAAATATTTTATAATTGTCTATTTTGGACGTGACAATCAAATTGGAATTTTTCAAAGCAGTATAAGATCGAAAAAAAAAAAAGTGCTGTTTGTATCTTGGATCAAGAAGAATTATAATTGAATAATGTTCTGTATTTTCTATTAATGAAAACGATTTTTTCATTACTTATTTCAAAACATTTTTAATTTCTGAAAAGTTAAGGAACTTGTTTCAAAATTTTTTTTTTTATTACAATCAGAAAGTAATGCAAGAATCAGTACCTGACAATATCTATTTCAAAAGTACACAAGATACTCACCATTTTTTCATAATAACTTCAATCTTGGAAAATTTAATTTCTACATAAAGAAATTTGTGTAATTTAGAAGCAATCAGTGGCATCAGATGTAAAATTTGTGTAATTTAAAAGCAATCACTGGCATCAGATGTTCTCTGGAACATGTAGTAGGTAGAATTTCAACTTGTTATCAATTTTCAATCCAAGGCTTCCTTTTTTTCAACTTCAGTTTTCAATTCAAGACTTTCTTTTTCTTAACTTCAGTTTTCAATCCTTAGCTTTCTTTTTCTCAACTTCAGTTTTCAATTCAAGGTTTTCTTTTTGTAACTTCAGTTTTCAATCCTTGGCTTTCTTTTTCTCAACTTCAGTTTTCAATTCAAGGCTTTCTTTTTCTTAACTTCAGTTTTCAATTCAAGGCTTCCTTTTCCTCAACTTCAGTTTTCAATCCAAGGCTTTCTTTTTCTTAACTACAGTTTTCAATTCAAGGCTTTCTTTTTCTTAACTTCAGTTTTCAATCCTAGGCTTCTTTTTCTCAACTTCAGTTTTCAATTCAAGGCTTCCTTTTTCTCAACTTCAGTTTTCAATCCAAGGCTTCCTTTTTCTCAACTTCAGTTTTCAATCCAAGACTTACTTTATTATCCACTTAAATTTCTTGCTGTTTATAAAGTTTATTGAAGAGTAGAGTTTGTTGCATAAGTTTCAGACACTTTATTTGATATAAGTCATTACAGTCAAATTCTACATTCAAATAATGTTTATTTTGTAAATCTTTCAACCATTTTAAAAAATCACTTTAAATCTTAATACTTAACAAAGGACTATACCTGTTATCAAGCTCAAATTAGATAATAATTACATTAGCCCACTGTCATGTGCTTTATTGAAACATGAGTTTAGATGCAAAGTACTTATTAAACATGGGCCCAATGTAGGTATTAGCAATTTAAAAAACGTTGTTTTTAACAACACATGTTAGTATAAACTATAAAAAAGTAATCACCAACAATATATATAAAAGTATATATATAAGTATATATATATAAAGTTTTTTTTAAAAGGATCTGTCTAATGAATAAATACTGAGTAATATTACAGTTTAAGTAATATTTATAAAAAAACAATCTAATTTCTAGATAACCATAAGCATTATCAATCCCAAAATATGCAATTCATCTTTCATGTGAATCTTAGATCATATTTAATCCAAACCAGTTATTTCATATTCACTAAAATTGATGCCTTTGCATAAAGAAAAATGTGGCTGACAGACTAAAACTTGGTCAGTCATACAATGAGATTGGTGGCATTTTTGACTTTTATATGGAAATAACCTTCTTACATTTATTTTTAAAGAACGCGTTACACATCTATATCTTTTGGAAGTCGAAAAGAGATTGCGATTTTACTTGATCAACTATTAGATGAAATCTCTGCATCTGAAATTCAAATTGGACCTATGCCTCTTCTATGTAGGCATTTGACTAACAGCTCATGTGACAACTCTATTAGATTCAATCTATGTTTATTTTTTAAAAGTCATTACTAATATAAATCACTTGTGAATTGATTTCAACAACATTTATTACTGTAGAAATAATTACCATAGACCATCACTTGGTGTTTCTGCTCACACTATAAGAGTCACATATTTGATCCTGTAATTAGCTCCATTTTTCTGACAGTGCCAATATATGTAAACCTCTTAGTTTTTAAGTTACCATTGAGTAAAAGTCAAAACCAATTAACAGCTTTTATATTTCAACCAGATCCAAATAAAGTTTTAGCCATTCTCATTACCACATCACTTAGTTTGTTGATAAAGCAGGAAGAGTCTTATGATTGTTGCTTGCATAAATTTTCTATCTGAATATATAAAAAATCAATAGACTATAAAGTTTGTATTTACTGTATTTGTTTGGTTTTCAAGGTATGAATTGCCAAAACTAACATCTATCTCAATAGTCTGGAAGCATTTTATCAATAGTGAGATTTTCTCTTAAATTAAGTCTTTTCTGATGATTCTGATGATTAGTTTTTTAATAATTATTCTGGTGCAAAGCAGTTGTTTTCTTTACTATGGTTTTTAGCTCTCCAATCATCAAAATGAAAACAACAATTAAGTGTATTGAATTCTTTGAGGCTCTTAACTATACTGAAATTTTCAAATAATGAAAACTTGAGTAATTTGTCAGTAAATAAATTATTCCAACATTTAAGTGGAGTTTTGGTAGAAAATACTTGAAAATAAAATAAAAAAATGAAAATAAAAAATACTTGAACTGAAACCTGTTTCTGTATGACAAGTTGCACCTGACAGAGGGTTAGCAATAAACAAAAATAAAATCATGGGAACAAATAATAATAGTCTAATCCCAGTTGCAACATCCAAGAGTTATCAAATGCAATAAGTGAAACTACAATTAATCAAAAACATCCATTTATTAATAAATTTATTTTAAAATAATAATAATAAAATCAAGTCTTTAACTAAACATTCATACTTAAATTAAACAATCTGATTCTCAATAATTGTTTATGCTATTCATTTCACATAAAATTTTTATCTTTATTTCCTCATAAATAATTATAATATTATATGTATATTAGCGCATGGTGCCTACTATGATTTTTAAAATGGTGATTTTAATTCTAGAAATTTTTTCATACTGATTGTTTCAGATTTATTTGCATCAATTAATCAAAATTAAAAAATTTGACTTTGTCAACTTTTAATTGAGTTTTGTAGGCACCATGCGATAAATAAAAGTAAATTATTAATAAATGGATTTGTTTTTGATTAATTGTAGTTTCACTTATTGCATTTGATAACTCTTGGATGTTGCAACTGGGATTAGACTATTATTATTTGTTCCCATGATTTTATTTTTGTTTATTGCTAACCCTCTGTCAGGTTTTTTAACAATTGATTGTTGTTGTTGTCTTACAAATAAAAGTAATTATTTTATATAATTTTGCTTCTTTTGGGATCCAGAACCCAAATTTACAAAGGTATCATTTCATTTATAAATAAAATTTATAAATGAAATAGTAAAACTAGCAGTTTTATATATTGTTATAGCAGTATATCCTCAAATACTTTTTTTTATTGTTAGAAATTTTTCAAAAATGTTTAAGTTGTAGTTATTTTGGAGGTTTCTTAAAAAACATGCTTGTTCATAGTAGTGTATAAATATTTATGTAAAAATAGGTTGAATAAGTTTCAAATTTTTTTATAATTTTTGTTTGAAATTTTAATTAATTTTTTTTTTATTACTCAGATATTTTACTACAAATTTTTTTTTGCGAAAATAAAACATCAGAACATTTAAGTTTTCAAAGCAGTTTGTTACAAATATCAAAATTTATGAAGTTTGCAAAAAAAAAATTTGAAATTTGTTTAAACTATGTTCATACCAATAAGATATGTGGTTACAAACAATTACCTAAAGTGTTGTACAAAAACTTTTAGAAGAATTTTTTATGATCCTTATGATAATTCGATGCCTATTCATGTTGAAATTATTTGTATTATTGATTTAGGTTGTATTTATTTGATTATTTAACTAAACTAAATTCCTTATCACTTTTAATTAACTTGTGTTTTATATTTACAGATCGCCTTGCAAAGTTAAAAGCAAGGCCTTTTTTGGCTGATGATACCCTAATTGAACCCCTTCATGCTATTAAAGATGCTGTACCTAGTGATTACAACTATATAAAACAAACACAGGTTTCTTCCTCTTATGGAAGGAATAATTCTTTGGATAATTCTGTGAATTTACAAAGTCCAAACATTTCTTTTTCGCGTTCTTTTGATGTTCTTAACAGCTCAATAAACTCTATTGTACCCAATAAACAATCAATCCCTTCAACAAAAAATCAAGGAAGTAGACCATACTCTGCATTTCCTGGAGATCGTGTATTAGGAGAGTCTTCAAGAAATGGTGTTGATGGCCGGTTTACTAGACTACAATCACACGAAGAGTCTTCATATGTTACTAACAATATAGAATCTCCTAGTAGTCCAAAAAAATCTTCTCTTTTGGCACAATCATTTGGGATCCCATCCCCAATAATGAACCGCTCTAAATCAACATTTAATTATGTCACATTAGCAAACAATAAATTAGAAGTTGATGGTTTGAAAAGAACTTCGCCTGACAATTTATGTAAGCATGAAAATAACTTACAAGCTATTTCTCAACATAACACGTATGCTAAAAAACATAATGGACATATAAGAAATGAGTATAAAGCAGAGAAAATTTCTTATCAACAGCATCTAGATGATTTGCCTTCTTCACCTCGGCTTATAGCGCAAAAAAACCCTCCAGACAATTTAACTTCTCCATTACTAAACCATAATGAGATCAATAACTTGAAAATTAATGAATCCAACAAATCACCATCACCTCATAATTTAAAAAAACAACCATTTGTTTATATTATGCCACCATCTAGTGTAAGTAATAGTGCAAGTTGCACACCACAAGTAGATAACAGTCTTAATGAAGTAAGTAAGCCTGTACAACGTCGCATCTCAAACATACGTCCATGCAGTAGTTCAGATGTGGATCAAATTCCACAATCGTTGAAAGTTGAAAGTTTCCAGTCGAATAACTTTTCTTCACCTAATGTTTTTGAAAATGACAATGAAAGAATTGGTTCAGAGCAAAAGAAGCTCACTCTTACACCATATACTCACCCTGCACTCTCTCTGCAAGATATTAATAAACAGTTTATTTTTTGTCCGCAACAAAGTTCATCTAGCCGTGTTTGTCCTACCTTTGAACCTTCCCCTGACTTAGTTAATTCTAAACATGTAGATGACTCTTTAAAGACTTCAGATGTTATAAATAATATAGAAATTAGTCCTTTAGAGATAGCAAGTCGATTGTATACACTAAATGGATATAAGGATACTGATGTTGCACCAATGCTTGGAAAAAAGTCAGTTTTTATTTTTTTGTTTAAACAAAATTCAATGTTTTCTTAATTTTGTCATTTTACTTATATTGCATTTTTAAATCAAATATATAATAATAGAGGAATACAAATTTTATATTTAAAACTAAGGATTTTATATTTTTTATGTTAAGCACTGAGCTTAGTCAGCAAATATTTTTTATGTTTAGCACTGAGCTGAGTCAGCAAATATGCAAAGAGTACCTGCAATTTTATAGATTTGATGGTTTAAGTTTAGATGGAGCGCTTCGGTATATTTTATTTTGCCTAATTAAACATTTTGAAATCTTTTTTAGAAGTTTAAAAATGCCATCATCATTATCATATTTTTTTTAAGCTATAAAACTACGTACAGAAAATTTTTTACTTTAGGAATTTCTTAGGGAATTTTCCATTAACTGGTGAAACTCAAGAACGAGAAAGAATATTAATTCAGTTTACAAAGCGTTATATGGAATGTAATTCACATTGTGACATGAGCGAAGGTATGATTTAAAATTTTATAGTTATGAAAAAATATTTTTTTGCTATGTTTGGATATTTTAAGCATAGGAAAAATTTATAATTAAATATTTAATTAAAAGTAATGAAAAAACTATATTATATTTTTTTTACTTGTTTAATTATATTATACTTGTTTTTTAATTTCATAACGTAAATAATTTAATACAGTTTTTATAAAAAAAGGTAAATTAAAACAATTGATTTTATTTAATCACTGTAACTCTCTGCAAATATTTAATTAAGCGAATGATTTGAAATTTTTGTTGTTTATATATGGAGGTTTAATGGATCTTGACTATTACTGCTAATTTATTACTAATGTCTCCTTTGAGATTGCCTCTAAATTGGAGTTACAGCTGGAAATAATGGTATAGGGCTTGTTAGCAAGTCAGCAATGTATCCTTCCTCTACCTCTTTTTTTTATTTATCAGGAACTACTTCTTAATAAGTATTACCAAAGAGATTTTGTTTCAGGAGAACACTCTGGTATAATGGATAAAGTAAATATGCAATGTTGTGGTGTTCTTTAAAGCATCTTTGTTTCTGATTCTTTTATTAAATTCTAAATGAATAAGATTTTTTTAATAAAGATAAGATGTTTTCAAAATGTTGACTTGTTTGGAGACACATAATGCAGAACTATTTCTTTCATATTAGCATCAAATTGTACTATTAAATCAGCCTATAATTTATAGTTGATTTCTCATATTTACTTTTTTTGTGGTGTCACTTTTTAACTTGTTTTATTTTCTTTTTTCAAGAGACCCTAGACTATCAAAAAATGATTCATCTAGTGGGTCAATGTACTTTGTTATCACAGTAGGTTAGCCCACATACAACTTATGGCTGAATTTTATCTGGGAAAGGTGCATTAAATATTAGGCATATAATATAGTGTTAAGTATGTCAAGTATATGTGTTAAGTATACAGAGGTGGAAAAAGTAAAAAAAAATTGTTTTCAAGTAAAAGTATTGTTACTTTAGTGAAATTTTACTAAAATACAAATAAAAAATACCGGTCGAAAAGTTTACTCAAATAAAAGTAATAAAAAGCTAATTAAAAATGTACTCAGAGTAAAAGTTACTGCGTTGCTTTTTTAACAGCCTGTCAGAATAAAAAACAAAAGTTAAACTATAAGGTTTTTGTTAAGTTTGAGAAGCAGTTGGTTTTCAAAGTTGGTCAATTTTATTCTTGCCCCCTTTGTAATAAATAAGAGTCCAGCTACGCTGAATAGATGCTCAAAGGCAGCAGAGTCAGAAAGACCAGTGTTCAGTTTGAGAGAAAGGTTTTTGATGCGCGGAAATGAGTTCAACAAATCCATTTTGTTCGAACTGCAAGCAAAGTACCCATCAACCTCCCCTTGTGATCTTCTCGATTTCATTGATGAAAAGAAATCTTCTTTATCTAATGAATATTGCCCAAACTGCTCGGCCATCTGGTCAATGTGTTGTCTCCCATGACCAGACCTGTTTAAAAACAAAACAATACATTTCATATTTTTATCAATACAAAGATTCATTTTACTTAAACAACAATGAATGATTAAGTAGTAAAAAAGTAGACAAAACAGATTACACTATGACAAAAAAAAAGGAAATCATACCTGCTCCTAGATTTCAGTTCTATCAGTCCAAGTGTTCTTAAACTTTGACAGAAAAATTGCTGCAGCAATCAGTTCTGGGTCTTGCATTGTTCTACCAAAACGTTTTTGGACACCATCCTAAATTGCTTTAACCCTTTGTTTACCAGACATGAAAAAAATTGTAAAAAATAACAATTTAAATTTTCAGAGACATACTGTAAAACTATTGTTGCCATAGAAACAAACTTGGTACTTTATAGTACTATCATGCTTAACTCAGAATTTTTTTAAATTCTTAAATTTTCTATTATTTATAAAACTTGAACTTCCAAAGACAAGAACTTAGTATATTTAAGACAAATACAAGGTTTATGTTAACTTAAAACAAACTAACAAACTTGTTTCAATTCTTTACATGACTGCTATGACATAATTTAATACTTTTTTTAGAATAAAGGAACTTTTCTCCTTGTTTTTTTTTTAGTATTTATTACTCAATCTTGAAAATAAACAGATAAAATCAATTCTAAATTATAAAATTATTGAACGTAGCAAAAGAAGAGACTGCTTCAAAAATCTTTTTTAAATGATTTGTAAAAATATTTCACAAATTGAAGCAATTCTTTTTTTCATTACAACGAAGAAAAATCTTGCACATATTGCATTTACTATGTGGTCTAAGATGAAGATTGTTAGAAGAAGACACCTTCCATCGTCCTCTTGCATCTTGTTAAATAGGGAAGTGGACACCAACATTTTGTAATCTAATAAGTCAGGAACAGAATAATTTATTTTACAGCGTTTTTTTTTTGTGGTTCTACTGTCGGACTTCTCAAAGGTTGACCTACAGTTGGTAATCTAGCAAGAGTAATAAGAGACTGGGTAACTTTTCTGTGAAATTCCAGAGATTGTATAGGTTTTTCTGCTATTTTGTTAAAAAAAAAAAGAAATACACAATGTTTGTTCTAAAATTCCATAAAATTTGTGATGCCACCATTTCTTTGATTTTTGACTCAAGCGGCAACTGGAACACAACGTGTCTGCCTTGTCAACAACACCCATGTATGCATTGTAATCCTTTACAGCAATGAGACATCTAAATTCTTTACGTGTACCATCCTTTAGTCGCCTTAGCAGCTTTGCAGATTCTGTACCATAGAAGTTAGAGATAACATTCACCGCTCTATTATCCATCCATTTATAATAGTAAATGTTTCCAGAAAACACTCTGTAGTCATAATTTTTTTTTTTGATGCTTGTTGGCAAAAACTTTTGGTTGGTTCGAATTGTTGCACATGCTAAAATTCTCACCACTTTTCCCCTTATTCTGTATTTACAATGAATGTCATCAAGAGTGCCTGCTAGGACATCAAAGGTGTGTGACCCCCTCAATCTCTGGCAAGCAAATGTGGCAGATCTCCTTTCCAAGGTTTCCTCATCATTCCAATGAGCTGTCAGCCCTAGGAAACTTTCCTGGTGTGCAGACCAGCAATCAGTAGTTGTTGCAACATACCTGACTTAACTGAGGATTGAGAGCAAAGTCTTCTTTAATTGAATGGCAGCATCATCAGTTCTGATCCAAAAAAAGGGTCTGGATATAACTTTACAGTGCGGATTAGTGCATGTAAAATTTTAAAGCAGGTTGTTCAACCAAAGAAAATGGATGAAGATCATCACAAATAAATTGGATCATGAGCTTGTCTTTTCTTGTGACAAACCTTTATTTTCACCCATAGCAAACATGTCACTTATTTTCCCTTGCTTTGCTGGGATTTCTGGTGGTTTCAGGTTTTGCTTCCTTGTTGTCACAAAGTCACTGAAGGCCTTTATCTTTGATGGATGTTTTCTCTGTAAAAAAATATTTGTCATCAGTTTAACCAATGTCATATTCATTTAACATGCTAAATTTAAAATGTTTGCGTGATATCTTTTAACACCAAATATTATTCGGTGTTAAAAATGTTAAAAAATTATAAAAGTATTCAAATAATATTAAATTACCTCAACCAACATGCTTGTGCAGGTTTGAGGTGAAGTTTTTATATGCTGCTATTTCAGTCAACTTGGGAAAATACAGTTTACACTGCATGATATAGCTGTCGCTTTTCTTGCACTTGAAGTCAAAGTAGTCGCTTAAATATGGCCACAGGTTTGCTTCAAAAGAAGTTGGTTTCAATTCCAATTCAGCTGGATTTGCATCTGATTTGTCCAACTCCATTATTTCTTTACTCATTACTTCAACTTTTTTTATTAAAAAATCATGTTTGGTTAAAGATTTAAAAACTTTTTTTTGCACTGAAAATTTTTTTTATGGTCATAAAAAGTGAAAAGAAACCAAGCTAAAGCAGTTAAAAGTCGTTATGAGCGTGTTCAACAATTTTTTTAGAACAATTTAAAATTGTCATCTTTATTAAAGTGAGCAAAACTTGAAATAACAAAAGAAGAAAACTATAGAGTAAAACAGAGTAAAATGAAATGGCGGGTTGAATGAAATAGTTATGACAGTATTTATTCTTTCGCT